GGCCCTGCGAGCCCTCTGCACCCCAGCGCGGCCCTGCGAGCCCTCTGCACCCCTTTCCCACCACAAAGTGCTGCTCCCAGCGCGGCCCTGGGCGGTGCCACAGTCACGCACACCTACTGCCAGGCTGCCCGGGCCTGGGAGTGGATCCGCAGGGCCTGGCTGCCCAGCGCCCTTCCCCTGGGGGCCTGGCCGCCCCCACACACACCCTTGGGGGGGGTTGTTCCCCCACACACACACCTTGTTCCTCGAGCCCTGGGGAGGCCCAGGCCCTGCCCAGCCCACACCTGGTGTGCCGCAATGTGAGGCCTTAGTTGTTGGGCGAGGCCGTGGTCAGGGGCCTGTTGGTGGTGGGAAGCCCCCCAGGCTCACACCGGCAGTCTACAGGCACCCCTCACCTCGGTACTTGGAGGGCCACCCAGGAGGGGGTGCCGTGTTGTCAGTGCTGTTCCGTTCACAGTGATGTCTGGGGCAGCCTCGGGGAAGTGGGGTCCCCTCTGTGTCCCCACTCCAGCCGCTGGGGTTGAGTTTGCTCCTGGTGTGTGTGTGGGGTGACTCCGTGTTAAACTCCCGTAGCTGGGCTGTGTGGGACCACTCTCAAGTCCTGTTCCCCTGCCTGCCTGTGTCAGGCACATGGAGGCACGGTGCCAGGCTGTACCCCAAGCCCCAGATGTCAACTTGGTTCTCTGGCTGTTCCCTGGCCAGTCTTTCCATATGGCTGGGCTGCCAGTGGGGTCAGCCTCCACGTGGGGCTGTGCTGTTAGACACGGAGCTGGCCCCTCGTGGTCTGCAGCAGTGCCTGGGCATGCAGTGCGCCCCTGGCCTCCATCTGACCACCGTGGTGTCTCCACGCAGGTACCCCCTGTACCAGCTGGGTGGACCCCAGCTCCGCGTGTTCCGAACCAACTTCTTCATCCAGCTGGTCCGGCCCGGTACCCCCCAGCCTGAGGACACGGTGCAGTTCCGGATCCCCATGGAGTAAGCCCCAAAGGAAACGGGGGTGGGGGCCCCCGGGCTGGGACCCTGGCGCATTTTCCTGGCTCAGCAAGGTCAGGCTCTTCCTCCGTTGACAGACCCCCGGCGGCTGTGCTGGCTCAGCAGACGGGGCGGGAGGCCCGGGGTTTGTAGAGCTGAGCTGCTCTTGGCTGACTTCCTGACTCGCCCTCCACCTGGGGAAGGCTTAACCGAAAGCCTGAGATTTGGACTCCCTTCCTTGTTCTTCCTCTTCCCAGGGGCTGGGCTGGGAGCCGAGCTCACAGAGCACCCCCCCCCCCCGGCTTCCCGCGTGTCAGTGCTGAGTTCCTTGCTGTACTTTGCCGTTTCACGTACGCTTCACTGTGAGGGAGAGCCATGGGTGCGGCCTGAGCCTGGGGCCCAGGGCCAGCTTGGGGCTGGGGGGGGCAGCGGGCACACTGGGGCATCTCCGTAGGGCATCCAGCCCTACAGAGGGCAGAGGGGCTGTGAAGCTGAGCGGGTCATGGTCCTAGGTTCTGCTGAACTGAGAATGTACACTTCTTGTCTCCAGGCCCCCATGGTCCTTGGTAGGAATCCCTCTAGGCTGTGGCAGTAGGTGCCCAGCTGGGCCGGCCCAGAGCCCTGCAGCAGGGATGCCTCACCCCAGTGGCAGCCCACGCTTCCCCGCACAGACTTCCAGGGGAGGCTGGGGAGAGGGGTGTGGGGGCCAAAGCAATAGAGCAGGACTCCCAGGGCGTCTTGTCTTCCTGACACCCCGGTGCTGGTGTCTGGAGAGGGCGGCTCGGGTCCCTGCAGCCAGCAGCGCTGATGTTTGGGGTCTGCTCACGCTCGGGCGGGTTTTGGTCTGTTTCTTCACATCAACCCAGCCTCTTTCTGCCTCACCCAGGATGACCAGGACGGACCTCAAGAATTACCTAGAGCGCATTTACAGCGTGCCTGTGGCTGCCGTTCGGACGCGGGTGCAGCACGGTGAGGGGTCAGGTTCCTTGTGGGCTTCGGGGAGTTCCTGCAGTGCCAGGCTGTGACCCCCCCCCCCAGCTGCCTGGCTCTTTACCTTGAATTGACACATGGAGATACTGAGGCAGAGGCTCAGGATGGCCCCCCATCTACCCTGAGTGCTAGCTTATGTCAATTGGTGCCACTTCCTGCTCCGGGCAGCTGCGGCCCCACCAGACTCCTGTCCTGTGTTCCCGCAGGTGCTGGTCCCTTCCCACACTCGAGACCCAGGCCAGCCCTGCAGCTCCAGAGGCCGCAGGACCTGGGAGTCCTCTAGAAATGGCCTTCTGCCCCATGCACATTGTAACAGAGATCAGGCATTTCTTCCAGTCTTCCAGAATGTCCAGCGGTGTTTTTATTTTCGAAGCTCATCTGCACTGACACACAGTCTGGATTCAGAGTGGGTGTTAGCTGCCTTGGCTGCCCTGCCCGCCCCAGGAGCAGCGTTGTGGGTCCTGCACCTGGGGATCTGGGTTGCAAGCTGGAGTCAGGGCCCACTTCCCTCCTTCCACAGGCTCCAACAGGCAGAGGGACTACAGGAACGTGAGGATCAAGAAGCCCGATTATAAGGTGGCCTACGTGCAGCTGGTGAGTGAGGGCCGCACAGCGTGGCCTCTGCCCAGCGTCCGGGCTGCGTCCCTGAGGCTGCTGGGGAGGGGTGGACGGGTGTCCGAGGTTGCGGCACCTCTGTGACGCAGGTGGTCAGCCTTGGGGGCAGCCCACTCAGGCCCCGCCGTTTGGGCTCCGTGTAAGGCACAGCCAGCCGCTGCCTCTGTTGGCCGCCCTCGGTGGAGCCTGGGTGCCAGGGCCAAGCCCCCATGGGCCCCGGGCCTGATTCTTTGCTTTGCCATGTGCCCGGTGGCCAGGAGCTCCGGGCAAGCCCGCGTGACCCAGCCCCAGACTTTCTCCTTGGGGCCCCAGACTTGCAGCAGCCAGTGCTGGGGGGCCCTTCCAGGCAGAGTCCCCTCTGACCTCCACAGCCTCAGACCACGTGGCCCCAGCGGGAGTCCTGCGGGGAGGGCCCATTAACCAGCCCCCCCACTGCCTGAAACCCACAGGGGGGCTTCCTCCAATTTCTCCAGTTTCAGTGTAAATAGCCCACCGGGGAGCGCGGGCTGAGCTGCCGCTAGATGGCAGTAGCGCTCTTGGGGAACACCTCCCCGCGCCCCAGCCCAAGGCCGGCGTCTGCTCAGAGGGGGAAGGAGGCGGCTTTGCCCAGAACAGCCACAGTTGTTCTGAACAGAGACCCCTCACCCCTCGGCCTGGTACTGGCTGGGCTTCAGGTCAGCTGGTGCAGGTGGGGGGAGCGGGCCCCAGGCGTTGAGTGGCCCATCTGTCCCTGTCACGCGTGGCCTGCCATCGCCACCCACTTCAGAGACAGCCATGGTCACAAGTGGCTTTTTGAGTCATCCGAGCCCCTGAATTTTCCCCGGGGCCCACCTCACTCTTGAAAGCAGTGCTTAGATCTGGTATCTGCAGCTGCCCCCCCCCCCGCCATCTTTCTTCCCTTGTGAAATCCAGCTCCTCCCATCCCAGAATTAAGATTCGTAACGCTTCCCCCTCCACCAGCCCCAGCAGGTCTCTGCATAGCCTAGAAACTGGGGGGCAGTTGGTCCCTGTGTCCCTCCTCACTGCCCCTCCCACGCCCCCCCCCACGTCTGCGGAGACCGTCCCTGGGTGTCCTTTGGGCCCTCCTAGGCTCGTTCTAATAGCACATTGTGGGGCGCAGGGAGACAAGTTGAAGGAGGGGATTTATGGCAGTTTGGCGGCCATGGCCAGCGTGGTCCCACATGGGGGGCGTCCCACATTTTTCCTCTGACAACCTGATAAACATCTCTTTGGCCCCAAGTCCAGGAGGGAGCCTTCGCAAGCCCTCAGTTACCCACATAACAAAAAGAGCATTGACCGTGTTTACACAGAGTGGCGTTTGAGTGAACGGTGCACACGGTCCTGAGCCGCCGGCTGCAGAGCAAACACTGCAGACGGCCCGGCCGGGGAGGAGCAGGCGTGTTCCCGCCCGGACAATGGAGGAGAGGCTGTAGGATTACTGGAGTCAGAGCTGGCTTTTCCACTTCGCATTGTGACCTTTCTCTCCCTTCCTGCCCCAGGCCCCCACCACCTCTCCTTCTTTGGGGGGCGGGGGGCAGGCACCCCGGGTGAATTTCTCTAGAGAGGAGAATCCCCAGGGAAGATCTCTAGCACCCCAAAGGCTTGTGGGGGGTACAAAGCAGAGTGCTCCCCCCCCCACCCTAGGGTTTGCGTTTGTGTGTTAATAAAGCCCCATTCTGGGGTTTCCCTGCTGCAAAACAGTGTAGACATGGGTCGCACACTCAGCTCGGGGCAGACCTGCCCCTTGGTGCATTACAAAGGGGAAAACAACATGGATGTGAAGAGTCCCGCTTGCAAGCTCCATCACCTCCCAAAGCCGGGTCTGCGCCAGCACCGGACTCTATGGACTAGACTTCCCAAGGGGTCCAAGGTGCTTCGTGGGGGCTCTCCCCTCCCTTATCTTGGGCTGAGGGATAGCAGTTAGCTAACTGGCCCATTATCGGCCTGCACCCCCCTTCCAAGGGCCCACACGGGTGCTGGCCCACGTGCCCAGAGCCTGGGCCGGGACATGGCTCTGCTCACACACACTGAGCTAGCGAAAGACGTAAAACCAGTTAATTTGCAAAGCCGGCCTTGATTTATAGACTGCTGCATCTGTGGGGTTCTGTGTATGTTATATGCGTTTTATTTGCCAAGCTCCGGCCTGGAGGAGGGCAGCCTTTAATGCGGCCGAAGGCCTCTAGGTATTTTGGATGGAAAAAGTTTCAGCCTGGCACCAGACGTCATTTGTGTCCTGTTTTTCTGTGCTTAGTTCCTGCCCCCAGTTCCACAGGCCGCTGCCTGGTGAATGAGGCTTTGCTGGGGCTGCTTTTAATGAGCCAGGGCTGGTGTAGCCCCAGACCCGCTTGTAAGAGATAGCAGGATGAAAAGGGGCCTTGTGGGGAATGGCTTCCCGCTGCTAGATAAAAGCCTGCCGATGTGTTTGTTTTCCAGGCAGGGACCCTGCTCGGAGACACCGGTGGCTCATCAGGCCCCTGGTGCAGGTCAGGGTCCAGAGTGGGGGATGGGGAGAAGGGGGAGGAGGGGCGGGAAGGAAGGGGATGAACTGGGCTCTCGTTCTCTCCCCAGGCCCACGGGCAGACCTTCACCTTCCCGGATCTGTTTCCCGAGAAAGAGCAGGACCTGGTGGCAGAGGAAGGGCTCCAGGAGGCTCTGCCCCAGAAGCAGAGCAGTGACCCGCGGCGCGGCGGTGTCCCCTCCTGGTTCGGCTTGTGACCCCGCGGGGCTGGGCGCAGGGCCGCAATAAAGTTCTGCTGTGTGACAAACGCACCCGGTGCTTTGTCTCCTTCTGTCCTGGGGCATGGGCTTCAGGACCTCCCGGGGAGCCCAAGGACCCCACCAGCACCCGGGCGGGCTTGGGGGGAGCAGCCCATGTGGACAGGATGAGGCAGGGCGTGGGGGGCACTGGTGCCCTGCCTGGACACAGCCCTCACGGACCGCACCTGGGCCGGGTGCTGTCCTGCCCCCGGTGAGGCCTGGGACCGGGCAGGGGGACAGGGTGGCAGGGCTGCCGCCCTCGGGGTACGAGGCCGGGCAGAATCACCTCAGAACTGGCCTGGGAAAGCCTGCCCCGGCAGAGGAGAGGAGCCCTGAGTCCAGGCCAAGACGCCGGCCCGCCCCGCAGCCCCCATGCCCTGACTGGGGGCAGCTCTACATGGCGGCCTTGCCCACTGTCTCAGACCCGTGCTGGCCAGGGTGCCCACCCTGCCCGCAGAAGCAGGCCGGGCCGGGCTGCACAGAGCCCCTCCGGGAGCCGGTTCACTGCAGGCTGGCCCATGACCTCATTCCCACAAGGCCACCGAGTGACCCCTGAGCCGGAATGGAACCTGGTTCAGGCTCTGTCTTTCATCACATCTTCAATCCAGCAACCCTGGAGGATTTCCAGATCTTTCCCTCCCATCTGACCCCCAGGCCCTGTCCTGACATGTGATGGCCTTGTGTCCAGTCAGACCTGGGGTCTACCTGACCCCGGATTCCTGGGGCCCTTTCTCTTGGTGAAGGGTTGGGCTCCCTCCGTGGCTACCAGAGACCCATGGGCTCCAGTTTTTTTGGGGGGGACAGAATGCTTACGTTGCGGGGGTTGAAGTTGGGGCCTTGCATTTGCCAGGCAGATGCTCTCCCACTGAGCCACAGCCCCGTTGGTTACTTGCTGACCCCTGAGTCGTTTTAGTACTTCCCTTCTGAAACACAGAAGCTGGCAGCAGACTGACTCAAGTGCATGGCTGGCTATTCTGTGCTGCGGGATGGGAATCGTGCAGCTCTCCCTCAGTCCGGTCTCGATCACACCAGATTTGGGTGTGGGTGCAGAGCCTCCCTGGGCAGCAGCGTGGGGCCTGTGAGCCCAGACCCACACCTGGGCACTCACGGCCTGTTCCTGTGGGAGAGGCCTGGGGAGCGGGGCCCCGACAGCACTCTCCTGCTCACCTGGCTCAGGCCCCGGCGGGAAGGGTGGGAGTCTGCACGGAGGAGGCCATGCTCAGCCCTCCGTGAACAGGAGTTGCCGGGACACCCGGCACTGTGAACGTGTGAAGGTCTTTGTAGCTTACACCGCAGAGCAGAGACGGCCGCCATGCGGGCCGAGGCCTGGCGGGGGCCCGCCACGCCAGATACCTGCGCAGGTGCCTCGGTGCACGCAGGCAGAGGCTGAGCCTGGGAGGTCCACATGAAGGGGAAACAGATGGGGTGGACAGATGGCAGGGTCACCATGGCGGGAGCTGTGGATGATGGAGCCCGGGGAGAAATGGGACAACTGAGGCTCAGGGAGCTAGAGCCAGGCTGGGTGAGGTCTGGGGGGCTAGAAGGGGGTGAAGACTGGCTAGGGGCCAGCAGAAAGGGGCCCCTCCTTGAATGTCCAAAAGGAGTAAAGCCACATGGAGCATGAGCTGACTCAGCTAGGAAGGACCACAGGCAGGGAGCTCATGTGAGCTTGTGTGAGCTCGTGTGTGTGTGTGTGTGTGCGCGCGCATGCGCGCATGTGCACGCACGCGTGTGTTGGGTATGTCAGCCATCTGTACCTGTGTGTGTCTGGGAGTGTATTCAGCTGAATGTGTGTGTGATGTGTCTGAGTCAATGTTGTGGAATGTGTATCTTGGTGTGCCTGTAAGTGTAGATCTGAGTGTGTCTGTGAGCACGTGTGTCGTGTGTGAACCGGTGAATGTGAGCCAGTGTGTCTATGAGCCAGTGGGTATCTGTGAGCCAGTGTGTGTCCATGTATGAGCCAGTGTGTCAGTATCTGAGTCAGTGTGTGTCCATGTATGAGCCAGTGTGTGTGTGTCCCTGTGTGAGCCAGTGTGTCTGCATGTGAGCCAGTGTGTCTGTGAACCAGCGGGTGTGTACATGTGTGAGCCAGTGTGTCTGCATGTGAGCCAGTGTGTCTGTGAACCAGTGGGTGTGTCCATGTGTGAGCCAGTGTGTGTCTATGTGTGAGCCAGTGTGTCTGTACCAGCGGGCGTGTGCATGCATGGTGTGTGTGTGTGTGTGTTTGTGTAAGGCAGTGACCAGGGTGAGGCTGGTCTGAGAGGCTGGTCGGTGTGGCGCGGAAGCACACGGGGTCTCTGGGGACTCCGGGTGGCCGCCAGCTTGGCTGTGTGGCCTCTGACAGCCCTCCAAGCTGCCTCTCCTCTTCCTGTGGGGTGAGGACCCAGCCCTGCAGTGTGGCCACTCTCCTCCCTGACAAGGCGGCCTCAGGATGCAGAGGTTGCACCCCCACTGAGAACCCCTGCAGGCAGGCCGCAGGGACCCCAGCTGGACTGCACGGCCAAGGCCCAGGCAAGCCGCACCCTTCACTGTTGATTTAGGGGCTGGAGGTCAGGAAGTGGGGCAGGAGAAATGGAGTCAACTGTATTTTCCTTAGAGAAATAATTCATGGGGCCCTGGCGCCCCGAGGACCCCCACTCAGACAGGGGAGGAGGAATCCATCCTTCAGCCCGGGCACTGCGGGAGGCCCCCACGGGGCACCAGGCAGAGCCTGGGCCAAGGCATCCTCCATCACAGCCTGGCAGCTGCCGCAGCCCAGCCCCCTCACACCCCGCAGGCCCCCGGAGGGGGGCAGCCCAAGGCCGGGCGCAGTGGCGCCCCTGGCTTAGAGCTGAGTCCTGGGGATGGCTTGCTGGGGGGAGGGCGGGGGGGGGCTCACCTACAGGGACACAACTTGCAGGGCTGGGGGTGCTTTGGCTGCAAGCAAGGGCAGACCCAGGGAGGGGTGCCTGGTCCTGGACCCAGAAATGGGCTAGCCAAGGTCAGAGCCCTAAGAAGAGGCTTTCCTGCCCGCCCCCCTTCACAGAGCCTCACCCGGATAACAGGACTGACCCCCCCCCCCAGCTCTGAGCAGCCAGGTGCACCTGGGAAGGAAGGAAGGGGCTTCCAGGACTGGCTTAGAAATGGGTACGCGCACAATTCAGCTCCCTGCCCCTCTCACACGGCGGGGGTTGGGGGGAATACCAGCACGGCCCCGCTGGGCCCGGGGTGCCCGGCCGGAGGAGTCCTCAAGCCTTGGCAGATGGAGCCCAGTTCCTGCTGACCAGGGAAAGGGGTGTGGGGTGTGCGGGACATGGGGCTGTTGTGGGAGTCGGCAGTGGCCCTGGACTCCCCAAGCCCCGTGAGAGGCCAGGTGGACACCCCTTCCTCGGATCCCGGAACCTGCTCCCTGTTGAGGCCAAGGAGTCAGAAGAGAGGACCAGCACCTTGCAGGCCCACTCCCCCCCCCCATGCAATGCTGGCTGCCCCGTGACTCAGTTTCCCATTTTGTTGTACAGCCGGGAGATGGTAGTTCAACCTTTAGCCCCAGCAGGCGGAGCCTCCGTAGTAACCTGTGTTTTCTCCCTTACGTGGAGACAGAAGAGCTCTGGGGGTGGGGGCCTTTCCTCATTCCCCACATGCCTGGGCAGGCTCCCGTCCAACCTAAACAGCCCTCTGTCCTGCAGATAAAGATCTCCAGGCTGCCGAGAACCACGTCCCCTCCGCGTCCACCTTTGCCGGTGCATCCTCAGGCAGGCCCTGACCCCTGAGAAACGGCCTCCGGGTGGGCAGGGCCTCCGCCCCGGTCAGATTTTTCTGATGCAACAGGGCGAGAGGATCCTTGGGGGCAAAGGCTGGGCTCCCTCTAACGTGGGGTTTGGGGCTGCTGTGGGGTTATCTGTGTACAAGTGGGAATCTGAGACCCAGGCAACTCTTCACTACCCAGGAAGGGGGGGGTCTGGGGCCTCTGCTAGGTCCCCATTCCTCAGACTATGCTCATGAATTGGGGTGAAGCAGGCCTGGCTCAGTGGCCTCCCAAAACTGTAGGTAGAGGCCCAGGAGCGTACTGCAAGGAAGCCTCTGACCCAGGCCTCCCATGGGTCTGTTTTCCTCTTGCAGGGCCACAGTGCCTTTGTGCCAGGCTCTGTGTGTGGCTCTGTGGCCCCTCTCAAAATGGCGCCGGTTAAGTGACCAATTGCAGGTGACCAGAGAGGGGTCTGGCTCTGTGCTGTCCCATACAATTCACACACATGAAGTCAGGTCACCCCAAGGCCGGCCTCACCCAGCCTTCCACCCTTCCTCTAACCAGAGCCCCTCCTGGCCTCCCCCAGGTCTTAATGCAGAGGCCCAGCTAAAGAAAGCAGGCTCTGGCCAGGCACCCGTGGCTCACGCCTGTCATCCTAGCTACTTAGGAGGCTGAGATCTGAGGATCACGGTTCAAAGCCAGCCTGGGCAGGAAAGTCTGGGAGACTCTAGTCTTCAATTAAACACCAGAAAACCAGAAGTGGTGCTGTGGCTCAAGTGGTAGAGTGTTAGCCTTGAGCTAAAGAGTTGAGGGAGAGTGCCCAGGCCCAGAGTTCAAGACCCACGACCTAAAAAAAAAGCCAGAAGTGGAGCTGTGGCTCAAAATGTACAGTGCTATCCTTGAGCATAAAAGCTCAGGGATCAGGCCCAGGCCCAGAGTTCAAGTCCCAGGACTGGAGAAGGAAGGAAGGGAGGGAGAGAGGAAGGGAGGGAGAGAAAGAAAGAGAGAAAGGGAGGGAGAGAGGAACAAAGAAAAGAGGGAAGGAGGGAAAGAAGGGAAGAGAGAAAGGAAGGGAGAGAGAAAGAATGAAGAAAGGAAGGAGGAGAGAAAAAGGAAGGGAGCGAAAAAGAGAGAGAAGAAAAGAACTAGAGAAAGAAAGGAAAGAAAAGAAAGGAAGGGAGAAAATGAAAGATGATGGAATGAAAGAAGAAAGGGAGAGAGAGAAGGAAACAAAGAGAGTGTGTGTGTATGAAAGAGAGAGAGACAGAGAAAGACAGAGAGAGA